TCGTTTCTCCGATCACAAATGCAGACATGGTTTTATGTTTACACGGCGCTATACGCAACGCAACGCGTAAAAAGACAGTATAAGTTATTATAATCCGTAATTATGTCCCCACTGGATGCTACAAATGCCTCGTTTGTAATGGGTTTTAATGTTTTTGTCTCGTCGCGCCGGGACATACGGAAATACAGTATGGTAGGGGCGTAACATTTCCGTCACACACTTGAGGCATTCGGCCAATCACAACGCATTGGATAGCTGGCCAATCAGAGCACACCTCGCTTTTTCAGACCGATGAGCTTTGTAAAAATCGACGCGTTTCAGAAAGGCGGGGCATAGAGGAGAAACACTAATGTACAGTATGTGGAAAATAATGTGTTTTTTTAACCTTAAACCACATAAACACATTTCATTACACCAAATACACCAAATAATGTTCTTTTTAGCAACCTCATATGACCCCTTTAAACATTATTTTACTCATGTTTTTGTAAGCAAATGTACTGCGAACTGAACAGTTTTGTGATATTAGGTTTAAATCTCAGAGAAGGAGACATCGTGATGGTGAGTTCTGTTTGTTGTTTATTGTATAAATAAAATACTGGATAATTCAGTAGATCTGTAGTTCTCTCAGGATACTTAAAACAATCTGTTTTAAAGCCTAAGCAAAAGAGCGCCATTCTTGGGAACCGGTGGGATATTTCCGTCCCCTATGAGCTGAGTGTGAATCTCAGTAAGAAAACATGGATTTCACACTTACAGTTTAACAAATGAAATTTAAATATTTTAATTAGCATTTCTATTGTTTTAGATTATTTTGGATTGTGGTTATAGGTGTGAACTATAAAGGAGTCATTTGGAGAGCCTTTGAGCAGTTCAGACTGAAATCATGTATTGACTTTAAGCCCAGAGCAGCAGAAGACATTTCATATATCTCTCTGGAGAGTCGTGACGGGTACAGTATGGTTCCAGTTAGTAATCAACAATATTAGTATTACATAGTAATATACACTATATAGCCTAAACTATGCTGTACTTATGGTGGACCAGTAGTGCACAAAACAAATTGCCACAACACAACGCATAGGACTAATTTTATTGTGTTGTGCTAATTTTGCTGTGTTGCTACTTGTTTCTGTTGTGTTGTGCTTATTTTGTTGTGTTATGGCTTGTTTCTGTTGTGTTGCAACTTGTTTCCGTTGTGTTGTGCTTATTTTGTTGTGTTGTGGCCTGTTTCTGTTGTGTTGCAACTTGTTTACGTTGTGTTGTGGCTTGTTTCCATTGTGTTGTGCTAATTTCGCTGCATGTGTTGTGGCTTGTTTCCGTTATGTTGCAAGAAAATTAACCATGGTTTTATTGTAGTAGAAGTGTAGCAACCATGGTTTTTGGCGTATTGATTATTATTTGTATAACAGTTTGACTACAAATTCCATGGTTAAACTATGGTTAGGTTAGCAAAACTATGGTTAATTTGTGGTTACCATGGTTTAACTACAGTAACCATGTTTTTTTTGTTTTTTTTCTAGTAAAACCATGCTTAATTTTTGTAAGGTGTTTCTGTTATGTTGTGGCTTGTTTCCGTTGTGTTGTGCTAATTTTGTTGTGTTGTGGCTTGTTTCCATTGTGTTGTACTAATTTCATTGTTTTGCGACTTGTTTCTGTTGTATTGTGCTAATCTCGTTGCGTTGTGGCTTGTTTCCGTTGTGTTGTCCTAATTTCATTGTGTTGCGACTTGTTTCTGTTGTATTGTGCTAATCTCGTTGTGTTGTGGCTTGTTTCCGTTGTGTTGTCCTAATTTAATTGTGTTGCGGCTTGTTTTCATTGTGTTGTGCTAATCTCGTAGTGTTGCAGCATATTTCCATTGTGTTGTGCTAATTTTGATGTGTTGCAGCTTGTTTCCATTGTGTTGTGCTGCGTCTTGTTTTGTGAAGATTTCATTGTGCTGTGCACTACTGGGCCCCGTATGTACTGAATGTATAGTCTACAACATTTAAATGAATAAACTCCCAGTCAAAAGTCTGGGCACACTTGACTATTTCCTGTAAAGGCTTTTGCCAAATATAATATTTTGACAATTACAATAGACAGACAACAAAATATTAAAGAAAAGAAGATATTAACATTTAACATTGTTTGGTCACTAGGTGCTGTGTATAATTCTTCCATTTGTGTTATTTGACAGCTCTTGGTTACTTTTCTTTTTTTGCGTAAAACAATTTGAATTGTAGTGTTGTTAACATTACACATCAATGTAACTGTGTTATGTGAATGTGTTCTCTCAATTGTTTTTCAGGTGTTGGTCATATGTCGGTCGTACATTTGCTGGAGCTCAGGCTCTTTCCATTGGAGATGGTTGTGGAACAAAAGCCATTGTTGAGCATGAGTTTCTCCATGCACTGGGATTTTGGCATGAGCAATCAAGATATGATAGAGATGATTATTTGACCATTAACTTTGAAAACATCATTACAGGTTGCTCTGTATTTTTTTTTACTATTATAATTTTGTTTTTAAATTTAATTGTCTTTAGGAAAAAAGTGAAATAGTCCATTAATTACTTACATACTGAATGCAGTGCCCATTTAACTAATCAGCACTTAAATAACCCATTCCTTATGAAAAAGCACATCAATAATTCCATCAGTCTTTATTTTCAGGTCAGGAGCACAATTTCAATAAATACAGTGAGAACCAGACCACCACCCAAGACACCCAATATGACTACTACTCTGTGATGCATTATGATAAAAATGCCTTCAGCAACGGTAATGGATCCACAATCATTACCAAGCGTCCTGAGTTCCAAGATGTGATTGGTCAACGCCTGGACTTGAGTGAATATGATGTGATTGAACTCAACAAACTCTATAAATGCAGTGAGTATTTCCCACATTGTTTTCATGTGTGGCTTTTGTTGTTTTTATAGTTTTTTTTTATGTGAATTCTATATAAGATTAAATTACTGCTGTTGGTTTTTGTTAAATTTCTTAGCAGGAATGTCTGATGCAAGGGAGACCATAGAAAACATGTTATGAATAGAAGTTGTAATGATTTGATTTTGCCTCAAATATTTGCATTACAGATTCGTCCATCTCTTTCCTTGATCACTGTAGTTTTGATGATGAATCTCTGTGTCAGATGAGTGTCTGTTCTGCTGGTGATTATGGCTGGCAGAGAATGAAGTCAGTGAGTGGCATCAATGTGACTGACCACACATACTTGGGCAAAGAACAAAATGGTGAGATCTGTTACAGTCTGTCTGAGAATGTGAAGTTTCTTTTTTGACAGTGTGTGCTTATTCACAGAAAGAAACTTTAGGATGGAAGATAAACTATTTTTAATGCCCAAAAAGTAATGCATCACTTCCAACCACAGTTGCAGTCACTGTACCATCCAGTTCTGCACAATACACCTGTTTTAATGTCTGCAGGGACGTCTTTCTTCATGCACTTCAGCACTGAGGGCAGGAATGAGGGAGATGCAGCCAAAATGGAAAGCAAGACAATGACCCCTAAAAGAGACTGCAAAGTCCAGTGCCTGCAGTTCTACTACTATCACAGTGGCCATGAGTCTGACCAGCTAAACATCTGGATCCGAGAATATCAGAATGAAGCAGACAGCAGAGGAACTCTCAGACTTATGGATCAGATAACAGGCCAGTCTCTGTCCTGGTTTAAATACTGTGTAGATTTAAATAATAATAGTAACAACACATGTAGACCTATATTTCAAGCTGGTCCTCAAATATTCTACATTACTGACAGTTTAATTTCTTGCAGAACCCCCTGGCAATTACTGGAAGCTGCATCATGTGCCACTAAATGCAAATAAAACCTTCCAAGTTGTGTTTGAAGTCCGTAAAGGAGCTGGAAACTCCAGTGGAGGATTTTCACTGGATGATATCAATATTTCAGAGACTGAGTGTCCCCACACATGGCAGATAAGAGACTTTGAGAAGGTTTTGAACAACAGTGTGTTTGACACTTGGATGTACAGTCCGCTGTATTACTCCAGTGATGGTTATCGCTTTCAGGCTGGTTTAAGTGTGTATCAGAATTACCTTTCAATATATGTTCGTCTGGTATCTGGTGTATATGAGGATCAGCTGCAGTGGCCTTGTCCATGGAGACAAATAACCTTCCAGATGCTTGACCAGAATCCACACTTACAGAAGCGCATGTCCTCTGAGAAAAGTTTCACATCTGACCCTTCTTTGATTTATTCCAGTGAGAATCTGATTATTTTTCTCTCATACCATGTTTACATGCAGCATTTTAGTTAACTCAAGATCAAGGTTATGTAGCTTTGGAGGGCCTAAAAAACATATTTTGTTGTAACAGATGTCAGTGTTTGGGACAATCCTCAAAATACTGGAACTCAAGTCGTCATTGGCAATGAGACCGTATATGTGGGTATTTTTTGGGGCTATAAATATGCCATAATGAAAGAGGATCTCACTAGAAGAGAGTTTATCAAGGGTGGTGACATCATATTTCTCTTCACCATGCAAGGTAGGTTTTGTGAAGTACCTTCAGAGAACTCATTTGGGCGGCTATGATATATTTCAGTTGTGCTCCATTTTCTGAACATTTATATAAATTTTGTTTACCAATCCAGATATCTCAGGGTTTCTTCAGAAGGACTCTCTACCCTGCCCTAAAGCAACAGTGAAGAACTTTAACGTTACTTCTGATTTGAGTGCCCAGCAAGGATCATGTGCTCCAAGGTAAATATCCTTTTAACCTCTCTTGTACAATCATTCAGAACACACAAAAATTTATTAATGTCTAAACTTATTGTCTATTTATGCTACAAAATGGTGGTCAGAACAAGTTCAGAGACATCTGAAAATCTGATCATCTGAATCTGTTCCCTTTTCTTGTGTTTTTGGACTCTTATTTTGAAGTGTTTCTGTTTCCTATTGTTTCCTTGCTCCCTTCCTGTGTTTAGTTCCCTTCTTGCATTTGTTACCCTGGACGCTTCTCAGTATCCCTCCTCGTTTCCTCGCTCCTCCATCCTATGACCAGGAAACCGATCGATCTCAGCCATCTTGTAGTAGGACGTCTGTTGTGGTTGCTAACCAGTTCTTCAATGTTATTATCTGTTGTAGTAATACTGTCGTGAAGTCATGCTGATGCGCATGCTTCACAGTTGTACCACATTCCGTGACTGTTGCCGCTGAAGTTCATTGAGTAAACTGGCATTCTGCCGAAGCTCTGTTTGTATGTGTTTTGTTGAACGTAACATTTGGCGACGAGGATGGCTTTATCTCTACCTCCCCCTGTGCCATTTCTGCCCCACGCTGGTGAACCTGTCGTGCCGTGGGAGCGCTGGTATGTGTTGTTTCAGACGTACCTTGTAGCCGCGGGCTTGTATGATGTCCCGGACGGGAGAAAACATGCACTTCTCCTCCATTGTCTCGGCGCTGAGGGATTACGGATCTTCCAGACGCTCTATGCTGCAAATACATACTCTGAAGCTGTTGCACGACTAAAAGGACATTTTCAAAAGACTCCTAGTCTGCTGTTGAAACGCTTACATTTCAGACAAAGATGCCAACAGTCGGGTGAGTCAGCCAGTCAGTTTGTCGTTGATTTAAAAAGCCTTGCGGAGCCATGCAAATTTGGTGCTCTCCGTGATGAATTAATTAGAGACCAACTTATTGAAAAAACAAACAGCGCATGGGTCAGAGAGAGGCTGCTTATGGAAAATGATAAACTTATTTTAGATAAGGCTCTCACTCTGGAACTCCAAATCGAAGAAGCTACACGGTGTGCAGCTAAAATAGCAGAGACTAATGCAGCTAAAACTGATGTCACCTCTGTACCTGCAAATACAGTCATGGATGAGGAGCTCCAGCCTGCAGGTGCAATCATCCAGCAAACACAGCCAAGTCAACAAAGACGGAGATGTGGCAACTGTGGCTCCATTCGTCATGCCAACAGGTCCCCAGATTGCCCAGCTATCGGCCAAAAGTGTAGACATGGTGTTAAGCTCAACCAAGGTTGCAAGGTGGTGCAGATCAAAGTCCAGTTCGCAGCCTTCACCAGCAGTAATTCATACAGTTGGTCCTCACTCAGTCACTTTCTCCACATGTGGTGTGCAGCTGAAAGACTGTTGCATTTCGCTGCTTCTTGGCACAGGAGCTAAAGTGTCATTGCTTAATATGGCCACCTACAAGAAAATTTTCTCTGATGTTGAGTTACAGCCATCACCTCTGAACAGGGCTGGACTGGGGTTAAAATTCGGGCCTGGACAAATCCAGTCCATCTGGCCCACGAGTTCGCCCATGAATATTTTACTGGGTTACAGGGCCTTTAATTGGAGTAAATAATAATAGATATTACTGAATTCACGACAAATGCAACAAACTTAATGCATTTTTGTCACATAGAAATGTATTGCACTTGACAGTAAAGCATTGATTTTGAGCTAGAATGCAGGAAATGTATTGCTAATAAATTCTGTCATCATTTCCTCACCCTCATGTCATTCCAATGACTTAGTTTCTTCTGTAGAACACAAAAGATATTTTGTAGAACGTTACCAAACCATTTTGGTTACCCTTGATTTCTACTATATGGACAGAAATTTCTTGAATTTCTGAATTTATCTTATTTTATGTTCCACAGAAGAAAGAAATTCATACAGGTTTGAAATGACATGATATTGAGTAAATGATGACAATTTTCATTTTTGGGTGAACTATCCCTTTAAGAACTTATTTAATATTTAAGTAATAACAGTAACATTTATAATAAATACATTTCTATTGTACAATGTTAATAACTACAAGTTAAATTACAATGGTGCTGAATTGACAAGTCTATGTATTGGCATTTTCCAATTTACCTCGTCATGTAGTTTACATTGTCGTGGCTGTTTTCAGCCAGCATCACTACAGAACCTTTAATGTTCTCATATGTCACACGACTGTAGCGTATACACAATTCTGTGTGGCATCTGAATGGATCAAGCGACTTGCGCTGTTTATCACTTTACATTGTGGCGGAAGCGCAGCGCACGTTCGTCAGCGCTGTGCGGGCGACTGATCCCACTCTGCTTTTGCGCGCAACTTGTGAATGCATTGATAGGAGAATATTGATATATATTCTCCATTTCCAGAACCATTTCCATTTGGTTCCATCCATTTCCAATGGAGAGTAGCGCTTTAGATAATGTAATCTTGTTAAAATTGATTTCATAAAATTGGTATCGAAAAAAGTATCGTTCAGGAACCGGTATCGGTATCGATATCGAACATTTTTGAACGATACCCAGCCCTAGGTATCACACCACTCAAGCATAACACCCCCTGGGCATGGACAGCAGATTGTGAGCAGGCTATTCGATGACTCAAACACATTCTCACGTCACCATCAACACTAGCTCATTTTGATCTCTCCAGCCCCACCCTGGTGACATGTGACGCAATAGCAGTCGGAGCAGTCCTGTCACAGCTGCATGATGGCATTGAAAGGCCTATTGCTTTTGCTTCACGGGCTCTGAGTACTGCGGAACAGAAATACTCAGTGGGAGAGAGAGGTGTTGGTGTGCATCTGGGCATGTGACCACTGGCTCATGTACTTATATGGACGATCCTTTACTCTCAGAACAGACCACCAGGCTTTCACTACTGTCCTCTGCTGGAACGGGCCACAAGCCCCTCAGGCTTCACCGATGGGCTGACAGGTTGAATCAGTATAACTACCATCTGCTGTTCACTCCTGGAAAAGACAACGTGGTTGCAGATTTCCTGTCACGTTCAGCTGCGGAGCCAGATAGCACAGCCAAGCAGCCAGGGTCATATATGGAGAGTGACCTTGTGCAGTTAGTGTATGAGCCCTTACAGACCACAGTGTCTCTTGAAGAAATTAAGCAAGAGTCTGCAGCAGACCCACTCTTCGTTACCCTCAGAACCTACATTCAGAACAGCTGGCCAGCTCGGTGAGCACTGACCTGACACCTTTCTCCCGAGTCAGGGCAGAACTGACATGTTGGGGTGAGTCATGCATTGCATGGGGGCACCGAGCAGTCATTCCTCTGTCCCTTAGGGGGCGGGTGCTATCAATGGCACACGAGGGTCACGTGGGGATAGTTAAACTGAAGCAGAGGTGCCGAGATTTAGTTTGGTGGCCAGGGATTGACAGAGAGCTCGAAGCTCTTGTACGTGAGTGTGCACCTGGTCTGCTCAGTGGTAAAACAGGTGCTCCAGTACCGCCACCCTTGCAAACTGTTGACTGGCCCACCATGCCATGGGAGCATCTACGGATGTACGTTTGTGGGGAGCTTGCCTCTATTCCTCACCATAAACGGTTCCTAGTTGTGGTGTATGACCTCCACTCAAAGTGGCCCAAGGTTGTGCCTATGGGCTCAGTTACAGCCTCCACAATGGTTGATTTCCTGGAGCAGCTCTTTTCCCGATGGGGAATCCTGCGAGCCATTACCACAGACAATGGGCTGCAGTTCGTTTCCAATGAGTTTTCATCATACCTGGCTGCCAGGGGCATAGCCCATATACGTATTGCCTTCTACCATCCTCAAGCTAATGGCGGCGTGGAAAGATTTAATCAAAGTCTAAAAATGACATACGTGCACACCTCTCTGCCAGACCCTCTTGCATTATCACGCTACCCAACATGCCACCACTGGGGTGTCCCCTGCCTGTCTCATGCTTGGCAGGGAACTAGAATTACCATTGAGCAGGCTGCGCCCACCTCATCAGCTCCCAGTGAACACTTCGATTCAGGCACGGGTTCATCAACATCAGCGCAACATGAGAGCCAGATATGACAGCAAGCATTCATGTTCAGGCCAAAAAAATGAGAGTACAGGATTGGGTAAGAGCCCGTAGGCCACATTGCAGCAATAAATTGAGCACTTTCCTGTCTGAGCCCCTCCAGGTCAAACGGCAGCTTGGGCCAGTCACTTTGAAGCTAACTAATAGATCCCGGTGGCATGCCAGTTGTCTTCAAAGAGTGCCCACACCTTCTGTAATGGAGGAGAACCTGAACTGACCTATGGACCCCGTTCTGCTGCCACTAAATCTGGATCCTAATGTGGTCACCAGACAGGAAGTGAGAACCGAACGGTGTCAGAGCCCACAATCTGAAGATGCCCCTATGACAACTCGTCCTGTGAGGACAAGGGCACGTCCTGCACACTTCCAGGACTTTGAAGCTACGTTTCATACTTAAGCTTGGTGGGAGGGGGGAAAATGTCATGGTTGCTAACCAGTTATTCACTGTTATTATCTGTTGTAGTAATACTGTTGTGAAGTCATGCTGATGCGCATGCTTCACAATTGTACCGTATTCCGTGACTGTTGCCGCTGAAGTTCATTGAGTAAACTAGCATTCTGCCGAAGCTTTGTTTGTATGTGTTATGTTGAACATAACAACATCTTAACTCTTTCTCCGCCAAACACGGAATTTTCCATTATTCATGAGACAACGCTTCCCTGCCAAACATGGAATTTTCCGGGTTTCTTTGTTTTCACTGTTATAGGCTAGGGGGCACTATTAAACATCTCCTGAATGAGTCTAGAAAGTGGCGATCAAAAACACAGACCAGGAAGACGCAGAAATTAGCGATCTCATATGTAAACATATGCATATGAAAAATAATGCGATCATCAACACTAACCACATATAAATGTAAACTGCCTAATGTTATAGAGTGAAATGTCAATCCAGAAAGTGGTAAAGGCCTGTGCAAGCTTTGGGAGTACTGATGGAAGCCATCTACAGCATCTTTGCTTTGATAATATTACTGAATATGAACCAGATGTAGTATTTGAGAAAAATGCGATTTTCTCAGCTTTTTGCTCAAAATGTTGCTTTTTTTATGAAACCTACCTACATTCAAGTGTTAAAGGGGTGGTTGATTTTGATTTCACTTTTTTAACTTTTTTAACATTAGTGTGTAATGTTGCTGTTAGAGCATAAACAACGTCTGCAAAGTTACGACGCTCAAAGTTCAATGCAAAGGGAGATATTTTCTTTTAAAGAAATCTTTTAACAACCCGTAATGGTAAGGGGGCGTGATGTTCCCGGACAACGTGCACAAGGCAGTTAGTGAATCACAACACACTGGGCCAGCTAACCAATCTGAGCCCACTGCATATTTCTGGGGGAGGGACTTCAGAGAACCAAGAACTCAACAGACCGTTTTGACGAGAACGGAAACAGCGGTGTAGAATAAAGGTAAGATATGTGAAAATAGTGCAGTTTTTTTTTTTAAACGAAGCATGAACACGTTACACTGCACCCCATAAACACAATCAAGCCTTCGAAAAAAGCTGATCAACCACCCCTTTAATAAAAAGGGCTTGAAGCTAGAATAAAACGGTTATTTTTTGTTTGAAAGTAGAGGGTCTAATCTTTATTTTGATGCATTGCATGTTTAGATTTTCATACAACAAAATATTCTCATTTAAAGAAATCTTTTAACAACCCGTAATGGTAAGGGGGCGTGATGTTCCCGGACAACGTGCACAAGGCAGTTAGTGAATCACAACACACTGGGCCAGCTAACCAATCTGAGCCCACTGCATATTTCTGGGGGAGGGACTTCAGAGAACCAAGAACTCAACAGACCGTTTTGACGAGAACGGAAACAGCGGTGTAGAATAAAGGTAAGATATGTGAAAATAGTGCAGTTTTTTTTTTTAAACGAAGCATGAACACGTTACACTGCACCCCATAAACACAATCAAGCCTTCGAAAAAAGCTGATCAACCACCCCTTTAATAAAAAGGGCTTGAAGCTAGAATAAAACGGTTATTTTTTGTTTGAAAGTAGAGGGTCTAATCTTTATTTTGATGCATTGCATGTTTAGATTTTCATACAACAAAATATTCTCAGGGCCATGAAATTTTAGTGAAAATCAGCAAAAACGCTGGCAGTGGCTGGCAACTTTTTTCAAAAACGCTGGCGGGGAAAGAGTTAATTTTCTAATTGCACCACGTGGAGGCGTGGATCGAGGACTGAGGAGGCTTCCAGAGGAGCTATGAGCGAGGATACACAGGTGTATCCTATGCAGAAGTCTTTCTTGTTGAAAAACCTGACGCACGTGTAAATTTTCCTCCCCCTTCACATGTCGTAATAATTTGAATTTATATTTTACCTTTTCAGTTTAAATAAATCATACATGTCATATATTTCAACTGGGCATCTTGCTTTATTAATATTAAATATGATTAATTATGTCTTAAATAAAAAACAACATAAGGGCAGATCCATTTAGAGCAGCTGATGATGCTTAGAAAGTGACGCTTGAGTGATCAAGAATATTCCAATATACAAATAACCGTTACTTTGATTCCTCTGTCCTCATTTTCTTTCCTTGAATCCTTCCCTCATATCCTAAGGGGGGTGGATCTAAGAAACGAGGAAAGGAAGCAAGGAAAGGAAACGAGGATGCATAAATAAGAATTGAGAAGCACCCCGTTTGTTCTTATGTTCACCCCCTATTTTGTTGTCATGGTTGTTCATTACTATAACTCCTCTACCTTGTTAGCCTCCCTATATAAGACTGTTTACCCAGTCACTCCTTGTGAAGTCTTGTATGTCTGATGTGCTGCAATTCTGAGCATTTCTTTGTTTTCCTGTTGTTGGATTTCTGCCCATGTCCTGGATTCCTCATTCCTGTCTTGCCCTAGGTCTATATGTTTGGATTGATTACATGTGCTCTGAAGTACTGCCTGTGTCTTGGACTGTGACTTTGGATTACGCTAACATTAAACTACATTTGGATCCTCAATCTCTGAGTCCCTGTGCAGTTCATGACAGATGATAAAAACCTTTTATCATCTTTTATTTTTTGTTTGTTTGCTAGAGTTCTTCCTATACCTCAGATGACCTCAACAACTACTACTGCTGCTACAAGAATTACAACTACACCAGGACTTACCGAGGGGTAAGACATAGTATAAATTTTTAATAAGTTTGAGAAAAGCTTCTTTACTATATCACTGCAATATGTGAAAGAAAAAGTAAAAGGCTGTGCTATATTGTGAACATAGTCACTGGTAAAGAGCACTGTTAGGGGGCGATGCGGTTCTCTGCTTCTATGTCCCCACCAATGTCAAAAGCAAAACTACGCCCTTGATATTTACCTTAGAACACAGCTTCAGGTACCTTATCCTTTGATTTGATAATGATTCACATGGATGTTTTTCAGTTACAATCTCTATTTGCTTTTATTTATGAACTGGTTTTACAACATCTGAGGACCTCCCCAAATGTCTCCAAATCTGTCCCTGATAGATTCAGTGAGTTAAATTAGTGAAGGATTTGTGTCCTTTGAGTTTTCAAACAGTAACTCATAAGTCTTTTTGAATGATTCATTAACAGGACTGCCTCAAAAGAATAATTTATTAATCAGACTACCTCAGTTGCAGTATGTTTTTGATTCACTAAAAGAACTGGTCATTTGTTTGTAAAATGATTTACTGCATTATTCAAATATATGCATTAAAAATGTTCATCTTCACATATGTTCTTTTCCTTTAGTGAATGCGTGGACATATTTTGCAATTCCAGTGCCAAGACTGCCTCCTCTCTGATCATCTTGGTGGTGTGCTTTCTTTTGCTAGTCAGTTAATCATGAGAAACCACTATTATCAGCCCTATGTCTGACTTCACGACTTCATAGCCAAAGAATTGCATCTATCTTCAGCTTTTTGCTACATGCATATGATAATTAAATATGTATTGATAATATTAACGTTAAAGCTTGCATTAATCATGATGATTTACACACATTCTCAGGAAAGAATAAGGTAAATATTTGCCATTTGAGTCTTCTTTTTTTCAGTCTGATAAATCGCTGCATGAATGCTATTGGTTTAAATAAAATGGTTTAAAACTTTTTTTTTTATTCAAGTGGGGTTTAATGTAAATGTTAGAGGGGAAAATGCTCATAAAAAGAGCCTATGCACTCAGATTTGGCCTGTAAATGCAAGATTTTGGTGGCATCTCATGGCACATGACAGAGCTTCCACTGTGAACAAAAGGACATGTACAATTATTTTAGATGCCTAAAAGGAGTGAGGAAAGTCTTCTGATAAACAGCATAACAAACATTGAGAAGCTCAAAAAGAAAAGCTTACACTAACTGTGTCGTAAGTTTTCTGTCAAGATGTGTTTGGTTTAATGCTACAAGTCACAATTGTGACACAATTCACTCTTTCAACTTTTTCACTCCTTGGTGACACTAAATATTGTACTAGTGGATACCCAATTTGATATGAGAATGCAATATTTTTAACACTTCTCAGGAACATACTACATACAATATAGACTGGTCTGTTGATGACTGACTGATGAGGTGATGGCTTTTTACCAGTGGGATTAATGTCTGCACACTGTATATTTCACATGTATGCAAATGTTCAACAGCATTCCTGAGCATCATTTACTAGCTGCCAAAACCCAAACCTATGGATCTAAGGACTGTTGAGGAAACCGCTGGATGGGTATAGAGTGGGAATATCAACTTGAGTTACCATATTGTTATAGTTGAGTGTGTGGACTCTTCTATTTTCTTAAAGTTTCAGCCATTTTTAAGGTATTTGATATAGTTAACGTTCTTGGTGTGAATGTGCCTTTAGACTGCTTTTCAAACAACTATCAATAAATACAACCATGGAATTTCTCTATAGGCCTACACTTGCTACACTTGAAAAAAAACACCTAACAAAAGCTAAGTCTAAATGCAATGTATTAAGAACTCTATGAACATCCCCCAAAATAGGTTTTGTTTGGTTCTGTAGTGTGGATACCATCACTGAGCTAAATGACAGGCAGCTTCTCAGCAAAAACATCACTTTGGGGCCCATGTCATTTTGTGGGCACAGTGTCTGGGGTACTTTACAAACAACAAAATTAGTTTGATCCTACTTTGTATCTGCAGGATACCACAAAATTACTATTACAGTTTTTCTGAATTGCTAAAACACATTTCTTGAAACCATCACTCATTTTCTCAAAACCTTAAACACAAATCCAAATACTCAAACTGAATTAACAAAACCTCTGACTCTTCCATCAAAATCAAACAATCACTGCAAAACCATTTCACTTGCACTCAAAATCAACCGGTGCTCTCAGATCAAACACACATGAGTCAATAAAATAAACACTACAGAGCATTCATTAGACACTACAGAGAAAAATGGAGAACACAGCATCCAGAACATTACAGAAAAAAGTATATTGTATTGAGTAAAAAAGTTTGCAATTCTGTAAAAAAGTTTAGTAATTGCAACTGAGTAAGAGGAATATATTGTATAGGCCTACTGTATGTACTGCAAGAATAGTATTGTGCTGAATATTGAATAGTACTGAATGTTTGTATATATTCAGCACTTGGATACTGCAAAAATACTGCAGTTCATAAAAGTGTTTTAAGTTAGCAACAGCGGTGTGTAACTGGTTCAAAAAGATTAAAGTCATATGAAATGTGTGTGTTTCGTATGGTAACAAAATATTGTTTTTATAAAGTTGTGTATAGTTTTGACAAAAGTGTTCCATTTTGCAAATGATCTGAAGTGTTGTGCTACTTTGGTGTAGGGTTGTGTTAATTGTGTGTAGTGTTTTGACAAACCGGGCCCTGTTTTCAAACTTGTGCTTAAGCAATCGTAAAAAACTGTAATAAACTAAGTATCAATAATAAACTATGAGACATGTCCTTCAAATTCTTACATTTATTCCCAGCCAGGTTAAAAGAAAACATATGTGTGTGTGTGTATATATATGTGTGTATATATGTATGTGTCTATATATGATACATATATATATATATATATATACATATATACATATATATACATATATAATGATATATATACATGTTTTCTTTTAACCTGGCTGGGAATAAATGTAAGAATTTGAAGCACATGACTCATAGTTTATTACTGATACTTAGTTTATTATTATTGCTACCGCTACAAGAGTATTTATTGTGAATATGCATTACAGTTTTTCTGAATTGCTAAAATACTAAACCCCAATCTCTGAACCAAATTCTCACTAGCTTAAACCAATTTGTCGAATAAAGCACTCGTTCTGCTAAACCTTAAACACGTTCAGGCAGTTAGGCTCATGCACTCTTTTTGCAAAACTCTAAACACATTCTCATTCACTTAAACACTTATCACACTGTGATGCATTTGTGCTGCAAAATGCTAAACACAAGCGGCAAAAGTTTATATATATAGTTATGCACTCCTGCAAAATCTCCTGTCAACCTATAGTCTAATCGAAGATGCTGTTGTGATATTTTATTCAAAAATATGAAGCATGGCTATAACCATAATCAATATACTAATCTGAACTGACTATTGAAGGTGGAGAGAGCACTGGTTATTCACTCCCCCCACCAACAATTCCTGCCAGACCTGAGACTTGAACCCGCAACCTTTGGGTTACAAGTCAGACTCTCTATCCATTAGGCCACAACTGCCCCATCAATAAATAGAAGTATTTTTGAGTATTTTCTCCCTAAATTTAGGGAGAGGGTGAGAATAATGTTGAAATGGAAAATGGTTCAAACTAGCAGGAGTCTACGGTTAGAAAGTAAACCAAGAGGAGTACGAATTCATTGTAGCAAAACTAGTGAAGTAAGACCAATCAGAGGCCGAATTGTCATTTTTTGGTTGAAAAGACTGATACGAACAAGGTATAAGTATGGCTCAGACTCAGATGCGGCGGCTGTCATCTCGGCTTTGTTGCTGTGTTCAATAAAGTCTTATTTTGACATCTGGAACTCTGCTTCTTGAGCTTTATTGACAAATTTGAGAAGGCCATTGTTTGTTCCACAACACATTGGCGTCACGAACAAGATTGGCCTGAAGCACGGCGTCGACGAGAGCTGTCGCAGGTGAAGGCCTGGCTGACAATAAAACAAATAAAAAAAAGGTGCCTAAAAGAGGTAAGCAAGTTTTTTGCTTGTATTAGATATAGGCAGTACCGCTGCTCCATATACGCAGTTTGCGTAGGGCACCAACTCCAAGGGGGGCACAATCCCAGTTCCATCCCAAAAACAAAAAAAAACCTGACACGCCATTCCCGCATCCGCGCCCGCTCGCACCTCATATTTGCGGCTGAATGCAAATGATCATTGATGGACAACTATACCCGTGAAAAAACATCAGCAATCCGGAGCCGAGAAAAGAAAAAGATGAAAACGAAGCCCGTGCATCACTTTCAGGTACATTCATAATTCTGTGAAACTTTTTTGGCTGTTGACGTTAATAACGTGTTTTAATGTCGGAAATCATTTCACCACCACCAACGCATCTAATATTCTTTCTGAGTTTCCATGTTCCCTTACGAAAATTAGCCATGGTTTTAACACGAATACAACAAAAAATCATGGTTCGTGTAGCCATTGGTAACCGCAAATTAACCATGGTTTTGTTACTTCAAATAATACTTTACAAGAAGTATTAAGATAATATATATATTTTTTGTGGTTAGGCCTATATAAACAGATCTAAGCCAACAGCCTTTAAAATTACTTAAAATGCATTATATAAAAACAATGAGGCAATAATGATTGGCTAATTAATAATTATATGGTTTCATTGAATAACACTGTTAAAATACATAATGTAATACAGAATGAACAATTTATGTACATTACATGTTATTACAAATGCCTGCAAAGGGAGCCAAAGGACTGGTAATTGCTGCTGTTATACTTACAGGACAATCAAATAGGCTGTTTAATAGGCTATTGACCAAACATTTAATTCAAATATCCACTTAATCTTTCATTTTTGGTCACCTTTTTGCTATAGATGACACAGCCTCAATAATTTCTTTAAAAAAAAAAAAAACATGTGGACATCACAACCCTTACAAAAATTAACCATGGTTTTATCGTAAAACTGCTTAATTTTCTCTTGCGTG